CTCAGAACATATCAAAACATATACAATGAACCACTGTATATCATAAGCATTGCAAAGTATATCTGTATGCCTTGTCTGTCAAGAAATTCCCAAGAGCTCCAGCTCCAAACATGTAAAATAAGACATATCAGAGGCAAGTACCGTGGCATATGCCATTTGTCATGTGCCTTAAAATACAGCAAGTAAGAGAAAATACTGCCCCTGGTTTGCTGAGTTATTTCAGACAAGTTGCTTCAACTCCCTGTGTCTCAGGTTCCTTATGTTAAAATAGGGATAATGATGCTGACTTCCTTGTATGCTGCTTTGAGAGAGCTAATGATATTTCTCATTTGCCTTGTGTTGCGCATACATTGCTATTAGGAAAACTTTTCTTTAACTTTCTATGGAGGTCTGAATATAGCAGTAATAAAATGATTTAAATTTATGTTCCCGGTTGCTTCTTAGAAAACAGTTTAGGAAAGTCTTTGACTAGCTAGTTCTTTCAGAATTTATTGATTTTGGAAAGATAGATTGATTGAAAACTTCTGGAGAAGCATGCTTCCTTTAATCAAGAAGGTTAAGATACAGGGGGAAAAAAAAGTTTATTTCTTTAAGTGTTTTTATTTCCTATATGGGAGAATTTCATGCAAGACTAAGACTAAGACTAAGTCTGAGGAACAACATCAAAAAGCAATATTAGGGTATGTTTTCATGGTTCCCTCCTGAAGCTTCAAGTCCATGTTCCAACCCAAACAGGTCCAGGCCTGTCCTACCCACCCTTTGCTTCTGATTTATCTCCCTCAGCTTTTCCTTCCTACCATCATCTGTAATGGACTCTCAGTACTGTTTAAAAAATGAAACTCTCTAAAGAAACAAAAAAGAAAGTAATAAATAAATACATACATAAAGGAAAAGTTAAAAAAAAAAATTCCAAGAGTCAAGTTGAAAAATAGTGATAAAAAAGAAAAACTTTATGTAAATGGGATAAATAAAAAATGACAGTTACAGTTAAAGAAATGCAAACTTTTTTACATTAGAAAAACAGATAAGGCATGTACATGAGTCTGCTCTGCAACACTCTAGAATAATCAACATGAATTTATGACTAAGACAGTTCAGGGTTGTCATCCCAGACTTGACCACACTTCCTTTTAAAGAAGCACTTAGCTACTTTCATGTTCACCTTATATTAGCCCTTTGGGTTAAGGTTATAAGCTTTTGGCCTAAAAATACAGAAAGAGGAGTGCTACACATCTGTGAAAACACCTACGGCATGTATCTGAGTGAGACTCAGAAGTGTCTCACCATATCTGAAGATAAACAGAATTAAATATGTTGTGATTTCTGTGAATAATTGTCTTAATTAAATGCCCTACAACAAGAAAACACTACCATATGCAGCCTCTTGGTAGCCTCAACCGTCTGCCCAAAGGAAAGGAGCCCCTGGACCTGGTGGTCACCTCTCCTTGAGCAACGCTTTTCTGTGCTTGCCAGCCTCCAAACCAGGGAAAATGATGGCACTGGAGCTGTGTCAGCAGCCATTTCTCGTGTGCAATTCAAGTCTCTCTTCGTCATCAGTGATTACTTCCTTCTTCATCTGTACACTATGACACAAACAAGAAAAAGGAAAAAAAAATCTTATTACCTCTTTTTTTATAGTCATATCACATTGCAGGGTAATATTGCTCTTTAGCACATCTATAGGGAGAACAGGCTTACAGATAACCATAGCAGGAGCCTAAATTAATATTGATTTAATCTTTGTGCATTTTACAAATTACAAATATTATTTGATCAGTCTTGTTCAACAAAGAGCACTAGTTTAGAGATTAGTCATCGTATAGTACTGCCAGAATTTTGTATCAAGAGAAAATTTTCATCACATTTTGCCATCTGTATGAGGCACAGAGTTGTACTTAGCCACCCTAAAATTAAGAAAGATATTGCTGAAAATAAATGCAGAGGTGAAGAGTAGCATCTTATTCTTACTATTTTTACAGCTGTTGTATGTATCTTATGCCCTTTTATTTTGTTTTTAGTATCTCTCTCTCATTGAACATCTAACAGATTCTGATTAAAAATCAATTTAGATCTGCAAAGCTGAATATATTTTCTATTATTTCATCGTGCCATCATATGCTATTTCTTGTTCTTTTTTCTACTAGGTCCTGTGAAGCTCTGTTTTGCTATCACATATTGTGCACCACATAAAAAAATGCTTCCCTATGTCTTTAAATAATAACATATATTATATTTATGGATAGGAAGCAAAGTAGCTATTCTGAGTGCGGATTTATTTGTCTTGAAATTTGAAAAGATGCTATGTGTGCTAAGCAAGTGCACGGAGTGGCTGACATGCAGGGATCCTCTCAGAGCAGCCCCATCACAGAGGCAGGCGGCCCACAGCCATAGCAGGGACTGTGCCAAGAGGGTGCAGGACCAAACTTCTTCCGCTCTTGAGAGCAGACGACATCAAATCATGTCCATTTCAAATAGACGTAAAGCAGCTTTGAATCGTGTTGCAGGCCTAGCGCCAATGATGCAGTCTTAGCAATTTAAGAGCTTCAGGACAATTTTCAAAAAAGGCTCAGGAACAGGCTTTCAAAAGTACAGGGCCCAATACAATGTCCAAAGGATCCTTGTTGGCGATTTTCTAAGGCACACAGATTGGTTTCCTCTGTCAAACAACAACGAATAGGAACTGGACCTTGAACTGGTTTTGCAATATTGCTAACTGATGGAATAAATTTTAGACATCAAAATATGTTTGGAAACCTTTCCATGATGATAATTTCTTTTTAATTTACTGCATCATATGTCAATTATATTTCAAATTACACAGCTCAGGTTACAGAGTTACCTAAGTCCCTTTGCTCTGATATTTTATAGCAACGAAAAAGGATAAGATAAAAAACATAAAATCTTCATGCAAAACGAAAGACAAAACAACAAACTGCAACTGAGTGGATGCTACTAATTTTGCCAAATTTACCATAGCATTCCCAAAGGTCAGTGGATTAAGATTTCTTCTTCAAACTGGCTCAAACTTTTTTTTGGCATAGAATATTTATTTTAATAATGATGTGCAAATTATATTTTGGCAAGTTTTAAAAATTGTTTTGAAATCCAAATTTCAAATTGCATATGAGAAGTTTTCCTATTGATAACACTTTGGTCTGTAAAAGAGTATGTACATATACAGCTTTAACATAAAGGGATTTCGGGATGGAGTAAATAAAATCATTCTTCTTTCAAGAATATTCCAAAAACTGCCTACTGAAAGTACACAGTACACAGAAAGTACACAACCAACTCTGAAATGCCAAGAAACTGGCCCCCTTCAATCCCTGGCTAGTGTATTAGCAATACAAATCGTTTTATGTTTTACTTCAATATTGAGAATATCAACATGCTATGAAATGTTAAAAACAATACACAAAAAGAAAAGTTTAAAAATCCACAAAAGGAACAAGAACCCCAAACAATGGCACAGAAATCTGCACGCAAAATCCAAATAATAAAAATGTTTTAAACCAGCAGCTTTTGGAAGACTTTTGCTTCAGTGGCAGGTCTGAAAATACCTGTCTCTACTTTGATGTCTCTCCAAAAGCAAATTTCACATTGACCCGGGTTCCTGGGGCATGGAGAAGCCCTGATGCACTTAGCAGTGTCCATGTTACAGCCCCCCGTGCTTGCTCGGCTGCAGGAGCCTGAGCGCCCTCATGTCCCCATCCCGCTGTGCCCGCGCAGAGCGTCGGGGAGGCACTCAGCGACGCTGCTTACCCAGCAGGAGCGCGGAGCCCTGACCCGTGAGGCGCGCTGAGTAATCCCGTCGGTGCTGAGCACTCCTACTTTTCTTGCAGTCAGCCGTGGGAGATGCCTGGCACCAGGGTGGGCTCCCTGCAAGAGCGCGGTGGCCGCGTGGCACTTCGTGGGGTGAGCAGCACGCTGTGCTCGCAGGCTCAGAGGCACGGCGCGCACTCCCCATCCTTGCCTCGCTCGCGGCTTGTGCATCCCAAGGATGCAGGGAGGTGCAGCGCTTCTGCTGCAGGACGGAGGGGCTGGGTGCTGAGCAGAGCCGCGAGCATACTCCAACTCTTCCGTCTCTCCCACACTTGTGCTTGTGCAGTCGAAAATTAGGCCAAAAGTGAGCTGTGCGGCTCTTCATGCTGCTACCTGCAGCTCTGAGCAGCCCAGCGGGGTTTCTGTGGCCCCAGGTATGTGCTGCACACAACTCCCTCTCCGACGGGTCGCAAACGGAAAGAGATGGGAAGGAGAAAGTAACGCCACTAGCAGACTTCATGTTTGATGAAAGCAAAAAGCCACCTTCCTCTGCCTCTGATATTCACGTGGCCTAATGAATAAAATGCTGCCTTTCTCCCAAGTTAAAATGCTACCTTTTCAATGGCAATGTGCTCTGGTCTGAGGACGATAGCTCTGCGAACAATGTGCATAGACTTGACTTCTTGCCTGAAAGCAAACAAATGGACGTGTATTTCCATTTCAACTAATAATGTCTTAAAGACCATATTCTTTACAACAATATTCATTAGGCGCTTCTATTATACTTGGTGTAAGGAGAAAACTGGCAATTGAATTCCAAGCAATGATAAGTTACCGTTTTAATGATTCCTTATGTTGTGAGTAATTTATAACGCACTCGGGATCTTCCCAGCAAAGCTTGCCTTCTGTTTTTAAAATCTCCTCTTTCGTATCCCACAAAGGGTTTCAGTGCAATAAGCATTAAGGTGTGTCTCTCAGCTTTTACCTGCGAGCAATAATGATGTTGCCAAGCGCTTCAGGTGAGACCAGCCCAGGATTTTTGGGTGGGGAAAGACACTCTGTTATACAGCATCTCCCTCATCTCTCAGAGGGAGACAGAGACACCTTGAAAGGCTGAGTATAAGGACATCTACTGAGAGTTCTTTTAAATCAACACCCGTGCTGGGGGGTGGGGGGAGGGCCGAGGAACAGACTGTAATCGGAACTTAGTTGGACCTGTATCTAAGAAATCAGATGCAATGGATTGGCTCCCTCACCGAACAACTGCTGTTCTGTTCCTTTTATCGGTAAGTCCAATTTTAATGCTGATTTCTACTGAGTTTATGTCAGTTGAATCCTTCTCAGAAGACCACCATATTTTAGTGTAAACCAGCCCTGCCCAAATCCCTGTGAAAATATGCATAAGTACAGCTGTGCTTACATTCAATTACATTTCTGAAGATTCCGTACAAATAACTTAGGTTTTCATTGAATGATGGCAATTGTTTCTTTCAATTACAATATTCCGAACTCTTTTGATGTTTGATATATGGCTTTATAGGTTTAAGACGTGGCTGTTTAATATTTGGCTTTCAGGGAAATATTGTCTGTGTGTTTTACTTAATGAGTCATTTTAGTAATAGTAATGTTATCATTTATAAAAACCTAAAAATGACTGGATATAACTTGATTCTATGTTTTTATTATTTTGTTCAATATAAGGAAGATGAAATATATTTTTCTAAAAAGTTTTTTGTAAGAGTGTCTCTAGGTTGACCAAATATTTTTGACTGGGCTTAAGAGAAAAACATGAAATTTAGTGAAGATTTCACCCGAGTAAAAACTGGGACTTGCCACATTGCTTCCTATTATAAAGGATTCTCATCTCATTGTGCATTAGTGTCTGAGCTGCCATATATTAAGGAAGTAAAATTTCAAATGTTGAAATGAAAGTGTCATTCTTTGAGTCTGTTTTATTCACTCTAAAAAAGGAAGTTGTCTATGGTCAAGCAGGATAGTTGTGCAATGTGTTCACCCATGCTGGGGAATTACCAGAAGGGACATAAAAGAACTAGGAAGGCCCTTTTACGATTGCATTCTGTTTCATGCGTGAATTATTTTTACTGATCTGTGCTGCTCCTCTCAAATTATGTGGAGATTTAAGGCTATGAAGACTGAAAGTAGAATTTATATTATAGCTTTTGATTTACACAGAATATTAGTAGGTATAAATGTTTGTTAACTTCTTGTCTCTATCAGTGTTTGTAGTCAGGGAAGAAGGGTTTGTTGTCATAGCATGTGAAATCCGGAGATTTATTTTCAAATAATAATGCAAGAATTTAGGTCACAGTTTAGCTGCCAGTAAAGCAGAACTAAGCAACATAGGGCGTCTGCCAGACAAATAATGATAAAACCTGGCGAAAGCAAAGTATAGTTTGGATAAGTTTCTGCTTGTTTAATGCAACGCTTTGGGTTCCGCCGAGATTGGCATGTTGTGTGTCACGCTAACAGTACTGGATTTTTATATAACATTATTGGCTATTAGTTTTATTCAGTTACCTGGTGGTGCATGCTCCTGATGTTTTGAAAGTCAGAATAAATCTGCTTGTATTGTATTTAAGATCTGTCCGTTCAAAGGGAATTTAAGAGCTTAATCTTCTCTTGTCAATACTGGAGCAATTCTTATTCAGTTTATTATTGTTACAATTGTGAGTGATTCAGAAGGCATGTTTGGTCAGGAAAAAAAAAAAGAGAAGTATTGAAAACTGCAATTATATCTTGATGAATATCTCCTTTTTTATCTTTTACTAGATAAAAGAATCAATTGTTTTTCTTCTAAAGTTTTCTTTTTTTCTGCATAACTGTGTTCATGGTGGCTTGTACAGTCTCATAATATGTTTTAGTGCTTTATAAAAAGGTGATAACAAAGCATTAAATACATTATAAATTATGTTGCATTTTGCAGAACAGTCTTAATTTTAGGCTTACCTGTTCCTTCATAAAAATCATCTGCCTGCTGTGTCTTCTTAGTATTTTGCCAATAAACTGTTCGAAGCAAAATTGCTGTGAAATTATGTATTTTAGTACACTTTCCAAAAATGAAGTCTTAATCTACCAGATTGCACTTCAAAACTATTAATTTTCTATGTGTATTTCACCATTGGTGAAACCGATTCTGCAACCCTCACCCACGTGCATTCAAAGGTGTTATTCTCATGAGTAAGAGAGTTCTGTTTGTGGTACTTGCACAGACACGTTTTATAGAAATAACCTGTTTGTTCAGGTATGACTCTTCTCCTGCCAACTATCATGTGACAGTTAATAATTTTAAATTCACCACATCTCTTATATACATTTTGTCTGGCTACTTTTTCCCATGTGTTATCTACACTTTTTTTTTTTTTCCCCCTTGCTAGGCTATGGTTACACCTCCTACTCATAGTTTTGTTGTGCATAAAAATAAAAATCCTCTCCTTGCATATGCATGCGAATCCTCTGCCAGCATGTAGCCAGGAAACTATATGGTCTTCTGCAAAGGGAGAGTTTAACTTTAGGAACAGAAATTAAGGCAATTCATTATCACCTCAAATCAAGTTAAGTTTGTAGTTATATCTCTGGATAAAAAATGGCCTAAACAAATGTTGCAGCAAGAGCATTCTAAGACATGCTACCTTATTATTATTATTATTGCTATTATTATTATTATTATTAATTTAGAGGGCATAGCATGTCCTCAAGTTAGCATGACTGACTTGACACAGTCCTTTTTGGGTGACAATGATTTACATATTAAAATTACTTTCCTGTTCATTTTTCTATTGGTTAAGCTCTATTACTACGTTGAAATTCATTATAGCTGTGTAAAGCATCCTGTATTATTTAGATCAGCAGAGCAGAAACAATTGCAGAGAAAGCTTTTCCCAAAGTGGTCAGTTATTTTAATAAACATATTTTAAAATAGATAAAACTGGAATTTGGAATTTATTCTTCTGACCAGCATGAGCATCATATCTTTCATTTCAAACAGCAATAGGTTCTCCATCTTGGGTACAATACAAAATATTGACTCCTGTTGCTAATATGAGAAGCCAGAAACACCTAACTTTTGCAGAGATAGTAAATAAATAGCCAGCAAAATCATTCTGTATAATTTTGCCTTAGAATTGGAAAAAACTCTTTGGTTAATGGAATACAAGAAAATGAAAAGCATAGGTAAAATATATATTGTTATTTCAATTTAAAAGTTACAAAATGGCTTCTTTTTAAAATATGAGCTTGTTTCTTGTGTTTCAGCCCTGCTTCTCATTATTTCACATGCACTAATTTATCATTTTTAATGAGGTGCAGAATACAAAAAGGGAAGGGCTCATTATTTCAACTCTTTACTAGTAAGAGTTTTGGCTGAGTAAGACATGTAGGTCCCAAACTGCTGACACAACCAAAGCTACCAGGATGACTAATATAATATGTGCGAGTTCTCAGCCCTCCTCCCATCGAGGTCAATAACAATGCTGCTGTTGACTTCAAAGAAAAAGAATCATGCAATATGAATAATGCTGGGAAGATATTAAAGGCGTGTTCAGTCATTTAGATATGAGTAGGTGGAGGAGGGAGGATTCCATAATTGCATATAATACTGCTTGGCAGTCAATTAATGATTAGTTAATTCTTGCTTGCAAATTGCTTTGAAGATGCAAAGAACCATACACATCTTATGGGCCTAATTCAGTTACCACTTACATCAGAACAAATCCAGTGTGACGTCAAGATCTTGTGTCATCCATAGGATTCAGAATCTGCGTCATTACAAAAATATACAAGCTTTCAGGTAGACTACTGTGAGAATGACAGTCATGACAAATGTTTTCTGTCTGTACCTCTCCCAAACGCTACCAGAAAG